ACTTTCACTTATTGTAAAACACGGCAAACTATCGCACTGGACGGAAAAAGTAGAGGCTTGCAGACTAAAACTTTCGGCGGATAGAAAACTTTCGAATAGTAAGGTTGTTCAACTATTCACTGCATCTTCTATATTTACGAAATAGTTCACCGAGAGAAATTTTAATAATAAAGTACCGAACACGAAAGTATAGTACCGAACACGAAACTACACTGATGGTAATACACTTGAAGCACACGACTATCACACGCGGTCCCGAGATGAATATATTTCCGATAAAATATACTTCCGATTTGATTATCCTCCTAGGGGTTGAGCTCTAGCTCAACCCCTACGGCTGCGCGACTTCGACTGACCAAAGTACCGAAAGTTCCGAGCCCTCGAGGTCTCCAACTTCTTCCTTGTTCTTCTCGAAAACAAAAGAGTGGTTTCGATTTCCAAAATATCCCTACATTTCGGGTTTCCCCGCGGTGAAAGCGGTACAAGCACACAAAAGAAAATATCTTCATTGAACTGAAAACTAAATGGACGTATTTCTATTAAACAGAACTATGTGCATTAAGACATGAGCCCTGAGACCCATAAGAATATATACATAATAGGGCTCATGTCATATTGCTTATAGCTCCGTTTGATAGAAATACGTCCAATTATTACAATAATTAATGAGGGTTTTTGGATTTCCCGGATTATTCATCTCTCACTTTTCACACCTTTCCTTTTTTTGCCGAAAAGTAGTGAGGGTTCGTCCATGAATCACATAGCCCATTTTTCCCGACCTTTGACCTCTCCTCCTTTTGCCCTAGATGTCATTTACCTCCAGACACCCCCCCCCCCCCCTCGAAAAATTTGTCATTTCAAGCGTGCCTCCCTTTCTTGCGTAGGTGTGGGTCGTCGCGAACCCTTGCCACGGGCGTACCACATATGAATTCAAGTGTTTAAATGACTCAAATATAACATAAATCACATAGGAAAAATCTAGAATCCACTCCTCCTTCACGGCATTTCTTGATTGCAATCGACTCGGCTTGAATTCTGCCGTGCTAAGGAAGAACGTCATATGAACATTCGAGAATTGCCGAATTTGCCTCGATAAAGCATGTATTTTTTACGACATCCATGCATATTTGGACCGCGTTTATTTAACAGAAAGGAACCAAGCCACATCAGCTATTGCCAAATTTAAGGGGGCACTTTAATTTTTTACGAGAGAACGTTTGTGCGGATTCCTTTGAATTTTTTAAGGAATTCGCCTTGTGCTCCGGAGAAAATTCACTGAAATTTGCACTAAAATCCGCAAAACCGTTTTTATGGGAAAAATTAAAATGCCTGATTAAATTTGGCAATAGCTGATGTGGCTTGGTTCCTTTCTGTTTAACGCGGTTCATTTTTTTTTCCTTTACAATTTCAGATGTTTAGATTAAATTGCGTACAAAATTGTCTGAAGATTTGGGGGAAAATATTCACAATTTCCCCACTTAATGGGCCAGCTGCGCTGGTCACAGAATCGCGTTTTGATGCTTGATTCTTGTAGATCAGCTATAATAATAGTAAGATCCGTCCAAACAGCATCTTTCTTCGTTCAATATTAATCGAGATATCGTCTTTTGAAAAGACAGGTTTTGGATGTCATCCATCGCGGTGGTGACACCCTTGGTTTTTTTCACCTTGCTTTCATCCAAGTATCACGCTTAGTAACCAATTCATCGCTGACTGATAAAAGCGAGGTGGAAGAAACGAAGGGTGTCACTACCGCGGTGGATGACGACAAATTCCAGCTTTCTAGAAGGCGATATCTCGGTTGATATTGAACGTCGAAAGTTGCTGTTAGGACCGATCTTATTAATTTTAGGTGAACCGCAATAATCAAGCAACAAAGCATGATTCTGTGACCAGCGCAACTGAGCCAACACTGGAAAAAACACACGTTGGATCTAGAGTCCAGACTCTTGAAAACATTGACAAGAAAAAAATACTCCTGATTCAATCGGATTTTTGCTTGAATCAATAGGAAATCCGCTTAAGTTAAGAGGCTTGCTTCTTGATTAAAGCTAGATTCTGATTGAATCAAGAGTACTTTTTCTTGTCGATGTTTTTAAGAGTCTAGACTCTAGATCCACTGTGTTGTTGTTTTTTTTCCAGTGAATCCGGTTTTTGTTTAAAGAAATTTGGCAACGTCTGAAGGCGCATACGGCGTTCTTCCTTAGCACAACAGAATTAGACACCAGGACTTGGATTTAATGTGCTATTGTCATGTTGCCTGGATTGAGCTTTGTGAAATCCTCTCGGACCCACGCATCTGATGCGTCTCAATCAAGATGATCAGGATGCATTTCCCCGAAAGGGCAATTGCGCCGACACGAATGCTCGAATGCACCATGCGATGACCGCCTCGATGAAGAGATGCTTTCACCTATAGCCATTCATCTCATCCTCATCTCGTACGCAGCATCCTGGGCTCCCGCCTTGCCAGATCGTCGTAGACGTTGACCGTCATTTCGTCGCTCCTTTGACGTATGGGCGTATAACAATTTCCGCATGAGTCTTGGAAGCATAGATTTGTATGGAAAATAAAGCTCACGTGGAAATTGAGATGTGTCTTTTCGTCGGAGGAGCGACGATTTGATGCGTGATAATGTCTTGATTCGTCGATCCTTTGATGGAGGGACGTAAGCTCGTTTCAAGGTTGGAAAATTGATCAAGGAATTCGATTTTTTATAGAAATATGACCGGCAATGGCCTGATCATTGCAATTGATCGACAAAGTTAAAGAAAGAGAAGACTAAGAAAAAATATAGCGATCCTATTGATTGACACGGCCGATTATTGAAGACTGCGGTCCGCTGTCCAAGACAGGGAAAAAGTAGGATTCGCCAAGGAATGACAAAATGAACGTATTTCTACCAAACAGAACTATGTGCATTAAGACATGAGTCCTGAGACCCATAAGTGTATGCGCATTACAGGGCTCACGGCATAAATAGTATAAGTTTTCGGCTTCAAAAATTATGCTAACGGGCTGATATTTGAAATTAATAGTTAAAGGTAGAGACAGAGAATTCAAGACGAAAATGGAGCGGTCATACTGGTCATATATAGACTAATTTTAAGCAGGGTATCTACCGTCGGTTAAAACCAGAAAATACCAATATTTTTAATGTCATCAGGACAAATCAGGAAAATATTAGGAAAATCGGAATTGCATCAGGAAGTATCGAGTGTGTCAAACATTGCAGGGGTGCAGAAAGTTCTTCGGCCCATGCTATTCATTCGCAATACTTTTCACCAAAAATTAGCGCGTTTGCAGTAATTTTCTAAAAATTAAACGCTGTGACATTAATGTTCTCATATGCAACGCTTTAGTAGAAAACGTCTCAAAAATTCAACGCTTTCCCACTAGTTTTGTAAAAATCAGTACGTTCGCATTACTTTTTGCGAAATTTCAACTGCCATGTCATGAGTTTTTGTAGAAATCAATGCGTTAAGCGTTCACTGTTTAGAATAAATTCGATTTGTTTCGATGTAACCGAATCTCTTTCATAAGTTCCTTGAACCGAATAGTTGAGACAATATAGAACACCATGGTCTCCTCTATTTTCTTGATGTGCAATTTTATCTTCTAGGAAGTCTGAATAGTTATCACCTGCTTCGCCCCATCCGACTTTTCTACTCCGCGTTAAAGTCTCTCTGAGTCAGTCGAAAATAGTTCACGTTCTCCTTCATTTAGCGGATATGCAATTTTATCTTCATGGAAGTCGGAATAATTGTATCGCGTGTTTCGACCTCTCCGACCAAACAGCGCATCGATGGCCGAAGTGGAAAACCACTTATCTCCATTACAGTGTTTCGAAATTTCCGCTCCCACTTTATTTCCTCGAAGAGAAACGATCCAATTTTACAGCTCGGAATTTTAACAGAATATTCTTCTAACAAAGAAGAAAAATCAAGAAGTCGAATAGTTTACCTCAGAGAAAAAAATGTATGACAGGAAGTCTGCTACTTAGCAAACGGATTTCCGCGGTTTTGTACCGTGACAATCGAAATACCCGTGGCGGCGTCGCTGGAAAAATACGGCTCTTTTTTTTCCTATAACAGCACAGGCATCAATTTTAAAACTTTTGTTTGTTTGTTTGTTTTTTTATTTGTTTTTTGTTTATTTTTTCATGACACTCTTACTTTTCTGGATACAGCACCCTACACGAGAAGAAATGCGCATGTATACAATCACTGTTGCAGTGTCATGGGGATTAATGTAAGCCTTTGTTCCGCCAAAAATGAACATTATATGAGGTGCTTGGAGGACAAGGCGCATAAGTGAAGTTTTTGCTATTTCCAGTATGTTTGAAGTTTCGAAATTACACGGATCCCTACGGCGGAATGAATGATCAAACTGACATCTTGATGCTTAAAAATTGAAATTTGGGAGCGAATTTTTCTCAGAATATGCATTAAGACTGATTGTACCTGAAATCATTAAATCTCAGTTTTTCCCAAATTTGCACTCATGCGCCTTGTCCTCCAAGCCCCGCATACACAGTTTTATTTCCAATCTTAATTTTTCCCCTGTCAAAATTTATTTAAGTCCTAATGTTTACTAACAATAAGTGAGATTAGACATCCAATCTTCATCATCTCCTAATGTGCTGATGTACTTCCGGCAGCATTCTTTCGAATATTACTTTGGGAGACTTCATACGCGCCGTCACAGTTTTATTTCTTGAAGTTTGGCATCGATGTGAAAGCCACAGCCGCGGCGCCCAGTACCTATCATCCATTGATGAGTGGTGAACTTGCTGCAGTGATGTCTTTCTTGGAGATTCTTTCAAGAACACCCTTAAAACGCTGTTAGAATCAGGCGAACTTTAGCGTAAAATCGGCAGCTTTGCGTTAATGAAAGCCAACCAGTTTAATGGTCGTTCCTAATTGGTGGTAATTAATTTTACTCGAATTGTTTGCGCCTCGCCCGAGTTTTTGTTTACATGAGTCTGTCTGTGTTCCAGGTCCGGCGAGACTGGAATGGCCTTTTCTTTCTCCGTACGACATGTATGGGAATTCTTGATTCTAACCTCACTTTTTAACCTAAGGTAAGTGTTTGCGTTTTCCCAGCTCTTACTTTCCCCAAAAGCTTGGGTCACACGATCAAACTAGAGTCCCTTTATACTGAGAGTCAAGACAATTTGAATCCATTTCTGATTGGTTCCCGTATTTTAGGTCTTCACAGTGTCACAAACGGGAATAAAGATTACAGTTTCACCGATTGCAAAGATTATAATCTGGAATGGACCGGGGAATTACGGGTTCGGCAAGGAACAAACGGAATGAGGGAAGGAACGAAGAAAGGAATTCGAGAATGGGCCGATCAAAGATTACGAAAAACGTTCAATTTCTGTAATCTTTATTCCCGTTTGTGATTCCATGAAGGGTGTTGTCTTGACTCTCGGTATAAAGGGACTCTAGATCAAACTGGACCACCGATCTTTCAAGGTTAGGTGTTGCGATTGGTTGGTTCGATGTCTGGGACCAATCACAACATCTGACCTCGTTAGTTCGATAGCTTCAGTTTGATCGTGGGATACCGGCTTAATACGCGCTGAAATTTTTTCGGAAGTTGTTAAGTCTACTTAAGTTGACTTAACAGAAGTTAAAACACTAAAGTCGATTTATAAACAAGTATGTAACGAGGTGGTAAAATTGTGCTGGGTAAACACTATTTTGCGGGAAACGAGGCCAAAAAGTTTATCAATTTCAACTTGAGTCAAAAATGTTGAACTCTGCAGTGTGGAATCAGTATTATTTTACCACCTCGTTACATAAGCCAGTGTCACACTATCAAAATACTCCATCAAAATGTCAAGGTCAAGTGCTGTGATTGGTCCAAGTCATCGAATGAGCCAATCACGACACCTAGCCTTGATATTTTGATGGCTAGCTTTGATAGTGTGACACAGGCTGTACAGTTCGGGCCACGTTCCTTATGCTATGATTACACGCTCAAATTTCCATCAATTTCCGATCAAATGGTGACTGGTGCGCACCATCTACCATCAAATTTCTGCGGCCTGCAAAAATTTGATGGTGAATGATGGAGCTGCGGGGCTCATCCTTCATCTGATTTCCACACAACCGTGCTTATTTCATGCTTATTTCAATCAACACGCTGTTTTAATTAATTTTACTCATCAATCTAGATAACTTCGACCGCCATCTTGGTCATATTTTTGATCGGAATTAGACGGAAATTTGAGCGTGTAACCAGGCCATTATGCCGCAATCACTTGCTGAATGCGGCTTGAATGTGGAAGTCATCGGCCCGATGCCTGAATTTGGCGCGTATCGCGCGAAATTAACCATCGATTCTCAGCGACCATCGGATAATGTCGGATTTGTCTGAACTATTCGAATAGATTTGATACACATCTGGATTAAAATAACTCAAATTTGCGAAATTTCAGCTGTTAAGCGATGACTGTTGACTTCCATATTCAGCTGCTAAATTCAGCGTGTGATTCCGACATTATTGTTTTTTTTTGTTTTTTTTTTCTTCTTGTAAAAATGTATGTAAATAAAAATTCACCCGTAAATTTCTTAGGAGAGACAGTGCGTCCCTGGCGTGTAATTAGAAAACTTCTCAGCACTTTCCATGATGTTCAAAGATAGAACACTGCTTTTAAGTTGTTGCAATAAAGCGAGTAAACATAAAAAATCTCTTGGTGCGCATTTCTAAGCCAGTGACGTCACTTATCATTGTGATCTCTGAATAATACACTCGATGAAACTTTTCAAGTATCTTTCTCAATTTCCCTCATGAAGTGCCCTCGAGTTGACTCTATTTGGAAAACCATCATTTTGTTCTCATTACACTAGATATCATCGATTCGTTGTAACTAGAATGAAAAAGGTAAACATGACGACTAGCAATCATGATTATGAGGGAATTATTTATTTATTTAATAATTGAGAAACACCAACTTCTCCTCAACTATGCAGTGAAGAAGTAGAGCTGGTGGGAAGGGTTCAACAATGAGTATGACCGTTTCAGAGGCAAGAACAATTACTTTCACCGCGCAGCGAAGTTGTAATGGATGCAAACCAAAAAGTTTGTCCTCTGTTTACTCTAATGGTAAAACTATGTGACGTTTTTCTGACGGATTGCGATGGATCCGGTTTCAAATGTTGCGACCACCTTTTATGTAGTTCGTCAGGCTATTTTCTGTCTCAAGAATATCGACGGTGCTAGTCCGAAACCACGTATCCCGGTTTGCGACGCGACAGACTTCTTGTCATACTTCATTTTTAATTAGAAAACTACTCAATGGCAATCCTTAAAAAAATGCCGTGATTTTTCCTCCCTGTGCGAAGAAAATGTTGCGAAAAATTCAAGAAACGATGTCGATTTGTTCTCCTCTAAAAAAATCAAATAAGAGCGGAGATTTTTAAACACCGCAAACAAGATACGTGCGGTTGCGAACTTACACCGTCGATATGCTCTCTGTTGTATGGACTAAGCTTTCATGGAATCAGATAGGCTCTTATTACAATCAATTAGATACTTCATCGCTTAAACGTGTCAAACGAAAATCTTGTACACGAGAAATGATTTACATCAATGAAAAAAGGAAAATTTCCGGGTGTCTATTAGCAGGGTGTCTACAAGTCCGGAAATAGTACCGATTTTTAAAGGGGGGTCCGAAAGTACTGAAAAAGTGCGGAAATTCCGCAGAATGTCCGGAATTTTGGTTATTTTTTGGTCATTTTTGTCTTTATTTGAGCGAGAAACTCCAATTTTTAAAATTTTTCGAATTTCGTCAAATTAAGGTACCGAGAAAGTACTGAATTTTCCTATTGAGGAGGTACTGGATTTTTTATAATGCACTTAAAAAGTACTGTAAAAGTACTGATTTTTGGCCCGCCTGTTTTAGTAGACACCCTAATTCGTCTTAAAATTATAAAAATTCCATCTTACACGGCCATAATTCCATTTTATAGCCGTACAATTTTAGAAATATTTTACTGTAGTGTCACAATTTTACAATACCACGTTTCACGCGATGAGCAACGATGAGAATTGATAATGCGACTCTTTAAAATGTTATTCTTTGACTTTAAGTTCTTATTGGCTTAAAGAAGCCAATCTTTTATCGTCGCTCCTCAGACGTAAGAGCGTATCTCTTTTTTCGCGTGAACCCTGAAATGCATGGAATGATATGGAGAACAGGGCTCTTGTGGAAATGAAAATACATCCTTACGTCAGAGGGACTACATTATGGATGCAAGAAGAGATTATTTCCGATCATCAGGGTGTCTAAAAGTCCGGAAATAGTACTGCTTTTTTAAGGGCGGTCCGGATGTACTGAAAAAGTGCGGAAATTCCGCTAGAAGGTCCGGAATTATTGTTATTTTTGTCACAATTTGAACGAGAAATTCAAATTTTTGAAATTCTTCGAATTCCGTCAAATGAAGGTACTGAAAATTTACTAAATTTTTCTGTTGAGGAGGTCCTGAATTTTTGGGAATGTACTGAAAAAGCACTGTAAAAGCACTGATTTTTGGCCTGCCTGTTTTAGTAGACACCCAGATGCATTCTTGCCTTTTTTTGAGAAAAGAAGGTAGTAGTAGTAGTAATATAAGTTTATTTTAAAGCGGTGCTTTAGCATCTAAAGCCATTTAGACCTCCTAAGAGAAGACATTTTTGAGAGAGGAGAAGAGCATAGAAAAACAGAAAAGAGGAAAAGGAGGAAAAGAAGAAAAGAGGAATCTGCCTTGTATTGAGCGTGTGGTCAATACGAGAGTACGCTCATGAACTCATACAGTCAATAAATTATCGGTGAAATAGCAATACCTGCTTCTTGAGTTTGAAGCGTATTTCCATGTTTTCACTCGAAAAATATGCATAGATTTATCTCGAAAGGCTGTTGATTAAATCGAGTACTAATGCTGAGTGCTCAAGCTCATAATCAGTGTTAGTCGCTCTCCTTTTTTCAACCATTTCCAGCACATTCACAAGAGCTGAAATTTATACGTTCGTCTGAATATTTTATGTAATCTAATGTGAATAACGCTAATGGGAGTCACGCCAGGAATATATGGGATTCTTGTAGATATGACTGTAAATGACGTTTAGTAGTTTTTTTCAGAAACAAATAAATAAATAAAATAAAACGAAAGCGGAAAATTGCAACGCCGCCATTGAAGATGTGGATTTTTCGACCTTACATAGGCTCGCGGAGTCTTCCGAATGAACTGATTCTGACGAAGGCTGATTCACTGACTTCAAGTGTATTTGGGCGCATTTCCAAAATTCAAGGATATTCAAGGACTTGAAAACTCGAAACAAAATTTCTTTGAATTTCAAAGACTTGAAAACTCGAAACAAAAATTCATGGATATTCAAGGACTTGAAAACTCGAAACAAAATTCTTTGAATATTCAAGGACTTGAAAATTCGAGACGAAAATTCAGGGATATTCAAGGACTTGAAAACTCGAAACAAAATTCTTTGGATATTCAAGGACTTGAAAATTCGAGACGAAAATTCAGGGATATTCAAGGACTTGAAAACTCGAAACAAAATTTCTTTGAATTTCAAGGACTTGAAAATTCGAGACAAAAATTCAGGGATATTCAAGGACTTGAAAACTCGAAACAAAATTTCTTTGAATTTCAAAGACTTGAAAACTCGAAACAAAAATTCATGGATATTCAAGGTCTTGAAAACTCGAAACAAATTTTTTTGGATATTCAAGCACTTGAAAACTCGAGACGAAAATTCAGGGATATTCAAGGACTTGAAAACTCGAAACAAATTTTTTTGGATATTCAAGCACTTGAAAACTCGAGACGAAAATTCAGGGATATTCAAGGACTTGAAAACTCGAAACAAAAATTCAAGGACGTCCCGATCGCTTCGTTTCTCGAATATCAGTTTCTTTCTTTACGGAAACTATAATGGATATATAAAACGGACAACATTTCGCAATAGATCGTATTCGATACATCAAACGGGTGAGATTGTATCGATATCGATTGATTCAAAACATAAGCATAGCCTCAATAGTAAATTCAGAAATCTGAGAGAACGAGTCTT